CAATTTCGAACGTTTCTGTGGGGGAGGGGCAATTTCGAACGTTTCTGTTGGGGAGGGACAGTTTCGAACGTTTCTGCACGGGAGGGACAGTTTCGAACGTTTTTTTGGGGGGGCAGTTTTGATTGTCTCTGTGGGGGAGGGGCAATTTCGAACGTTTCAATGAGGGAGGGACAGTTTTGAACGTTTCTACAGGAAGGAAGTTTCGAACGTTTCTGTGGGGGGATGTTTCGAACGTTTCTGTGAGGGAGGGACTGTTTCGAACGTTTCTGTGGGGGTGGGGCAGTTTCGAACGCTTCTGTGGGGAAGGGGCAGTTTTGAACTTTCCTTAGGGGGGCAGTTTCGAACGTTTCTGTGGGGAGGGGGCAGTTTCGAACGTTTCTGTGGGGGTAGATTCGAAAGGTTCTCTGTTGTGGGAACAGTTTCGAACGTTTCTGTGGGGAGGGGCATTTTTGAACGTTTTTGTGGGGGAGGGACTGTTTCGAACGTTTCTGTTGGGGAGGAGCAGTTTCGAGCGTTTTTTCAGGGGAGTGGCAGTATCGAACGTTTACGTGGGGGAGGGACAGTTTTGAACTTTTCTAAGGGGGCAGTTTCGAACGTTTCTGTTGGGGAGAGGCAATTTCGAACGTTTCTGAGGGAGAGGGGCAGTTTCGATTGTTTCGGTGGGGGAGGGGTAATTTCGAACGTTTCTGTGTTGTAGGAGCAGTTTCGTACGTTTCTGTAGGGGTCAGTTTCGAACGTTTCGGTGAGGGAGGGGCAGTTTCGAACGTTTCTGTGAGGGAGGGGCAGCTTCGAACGTTTCTGAAGGGCTGGGGCAGTTTCGAACGTCTCTGTGTGGGAGGGGCAGTTTCGAAAGTTTCTGTGAGGGAGGGACTGTTTCGAAAGTTTCTGTGGGAGTGGTGCAGTTTCGAACGTTTCTGTGAGGGAGGGGCAATTTTGAAAGTTTCTGTGGGGGAGGCGTAGATTCGAACGTTTCTTAGGGGGGCAGTTTCGAACGTTTCTCTGGGGGGCAGTTTCGAACGTTTCTGTATGGGACAGTTTCGACCGTTTCTGCGTTGAGGCAGTTTCGAAAGACTCTGCGGGAGAGGGGCTTTTTCGAACGTTTCTGTGGTGGAGGTCAGTTTCGAACATTTCTGCGGGAGGGTAGTTTCGAAAGTTTCTGTGAGGGAGGGGCAGTTTCGATCGTTTCTGAGGGGGAGGAGCAGTTTCGAACATTTCTGCAGTGGAGTGGCTGTTTCGAACGTATCTGTGTTGTGGGGGCAGTTTCGAACGTGTCTGAGGGGGAGGGGCGATTTTGAACGTTTCTGTGGGGGAGAGGCTGCTTCAAACGTTTCTGTGGGGGAGAGGCAATTTCGAACGTTTTTGTGGGGAAGGGACAGTTTAGAACGTTCCTTAGGGGGGCAGTTTCGAACGTTTCTGTGGGTGAGGGGCTGTCTCGAACGTTTCTGTTGGGGAGGGGAAATTTCGAACGTTTTTGTGGGTGAGAGGCAGTTTCGAACGTTACTGTGTTGTGGGGGCAGTTTCGAACGTTTCTGTGGGAGAGGGGCAGTTGGGAACGTTTCTTTGGGGGGCAGTTTCGAACGTTTCTGTGAGGGAGGGACGGTTTCGAACGTTTCTGTGGGGGGTGGGGCAGCTTCGAACGTTTCTGTGGGGGAGGAGCAATTTCGAACGTTTCTGTGGGGGAGGGACAGTCTCGAACGTTTCTGCATGGAAGGGACTGTTTCGAACGTTTCTGCGTGGGAGGAGCAGTTTCGAACGTTTCTGAAGGGCTGGGGCAGTTTCGAACGTTTCTATGGGGGAGGGGCAGTTTCGAAAGTTTCTGTGAGGGAGGGACTGTTTCGAATGTTTCTGTGGGAGTGGGCAGTTTCGAACGTTCCTGTGAGAGAGGGGAAGTTTTGAACAATTTTGTGGGGGAGGTGCTGTTTCGAACGTTTCTGTTGGGGAGGGGCAATTTTGAAAGTTTCTGTGGGGGAGGCGTAGATTCGAACGTTCCTTAGGGGGGCAGTTTCGAACGTTTCTCTGGGGGGCAGTTTCGAACGTTTCTGTATGGGACAGTTTCGACCGTTTCTGCGTTGAGGCAGTTTCGAAAGTCTCTGTGGGAGAGGGTCTTTTTCGAACGTTTCTGTGGTGGAGGCCAGTTTCGAACGTTCCTGCGGGGAGGCAGTTTCGAACATTTCTGTGGGAAGGTAGTTTCGAACTTTTCTGTGGGGGAGGGGCAGTTTCGATCGTTTCTGTGGGGGAGGGGAAGCTTCGAACGTTTCTACATGGGCACTTTCTGTACAGGGCGGTTTCGAACATTTATGTGGGGGAGGGTCATTTTCGATCGTTTCAAAGGGGAGGAGCAGTTTCGAACATTTCTGCAGGGGAGTGGCTGTTTCGAACGTATCTGTGTTGTGGGGGCAGTTTCGAACGTGTCTGAGGGGGAGGGGCGATTTTGAACGTTTTTGTGGGGGGGAGCAGTTTCGAACGTTTCTGCAGGGGACGGGCGGCATAGAACCATTTTGTGGAAGAGAAACAGTTTTGAACGTTTCTGAGGGGGAGAGGCTGCTTCGAACGTTTCTGTGGGGGAGAGGCAATTTCGAACGTTTTTGTGGGGAAGGGACAGTTTTGAACGTTCCTTAGGGGGGCAGTTTCGAACGTTTCTGTGGGTGAGGGGCTGTTTCGAACGTTTTTGTGGGAGAGAGGCAGTTTCGAACGTTTCGGTGGGGGAGGAGAAGTTTCGAAAGTTTCTGTGAGGGAGGGACTGTTTCGAATTTTTCTGTGGGAGTGGGCGGTTTCGAACGTTCCTGTGAGGGAGGGGCATTTTCGAACAATTTTGTGGGGGAGGGGCTGGTTCGAATGTTTCTGTTGGGGAGGGGCAATTTCAAAAGTTTCTGAGGGGGAGGCGTAGATTTGAACGTTTCTCTGGGGGGCAGTTTCGAACGTTTTTGTATGGGGCAGTTTCAAACGTTTCTGCGGGGAGGCAGTTTCGAACGTTTCTGTGGGGGGCAGTCTTGAACGTTTCTGTGATGGAGGGGAAGTTTCGAAAGTTTCTGTGAGGGAGGGACTGTTTCGAACGTTTCTGTGGAGGAGGGCCAATTTCGAATGTGTCTATGGGGGAGGGGCCGTTTCGATCGTTTATGTGGGGGAGGGGCAGTTTCGAACGTTTCTGTGGGGAGCTGCTTCGAACGCTTATGTGGGGGGCACTTTCGAACACTTCGATATGAGGCAATTTCGAACGTTTCTGTGTGCGGGGCAGTTTCGAACAATTTCGTGGGGGAGGGGCTGGTTCGAATGTTTCTGTTGGGGAGGGGCAATTTTGAAAGTTTCTGTGGGGGAGGTGTAGTTTCGAACGTTTCTCTGAGGGGCAGTTTCGAACGTTTCTGTATGGGACAGTTTCGACCGTTTCTGCGTTGAGGCAGTTTCGAACATTTCTGTGGGGGAGGGGCAGCGTCGAACGTTTCTTCATGGGCACTTTCGAACGTTTCTGTGGGTAGGCAGTTTCGAACGTCACTGCATAGAGCAGTTTCGAATTTTTCTGTGGGGGGCAGTTTCGTACATTTCTGTACAGGGCGGTTTCGAACGTTTCTGTGGGTGGAAGTTTCGAAATTTTCTGCTTTGTGCAATTTCGAATTCTTTGGTGTGGGAGGTGCAATTTCGCACGTTTCTGTGGGGGGCGGTTTCAAACGTTTCTGTGATGGAGGGACAGTTTCGAACGTTTCTTAGGGCGGCAGTTTCGAACGTTTCTGTGTTGGGCAGTTTCGAACGTTTTTGTATGGGGCAGTTTCAAACGTTTCTGCGGGGAGGCAGTTTCGAACGTTTCTGTGGGGGGGGCAGTCTTGAACGTTTCTGTGGAGGAGGGGCAATTTCAAACGTTTCCGTGGGGGGCAGTTTCGAACGTTTCTGTGATGGAGGGGAAGTTTCGAAAGTTTTTGTGAGGGAGGGACTGTTTCGAACGTTTCTGTGGGAGTGGGGTAGTTTCGAATGTTTCTGTGGGGGAGTGGCAATTTCGAACGCTTCCGTGGGGGAGGCAGTTTCGAACATTTCTGTGGGTGGGTAGTTTCGAACGTTTCTTTGGGGAGGGGCAACTTCGAACGTTTCTACATGGGCACTTTCGAACGTTTCTGTGGGTAGGCAGTTTCGAACGTTACTGCTTAGAGCAGTTTCGAACTTTTCTGTGGGGGGCAGTTTCGAACATTTCTGTACAGGGCGGTTTCGAACGTTACTGTGGGTGGAAGTTTCGAAATTTTCTGCTTGGTGCAATTTCGAATTATTTGGTGTGGGAGGTGCAATTTCAAACGTTTCTGTGGGGGGCGGTTTCAAACGTTTCTGTGATGGAGGGACAGTTTCGAACGTTTCTTAGGGCGGCAGTTTCGAACGTTTCTGTGGGGGGCCGTTTCGAACGTTTTAGTATGGGGCAGTTTCAAACGTTTTTGTGGGGGAGGGGCAGTTTCGATCGTTTCTGAGGGGGAGTGGCTGTTTCGAACGTATCTGTGTTGTGGGAGCAGTTTCGAACGTTTTTGTGGGTGAGAGGCAGTTTCGAACGTTTCTGTGTTGTGGGGGCAGTTTCGAACGTTTCTGTGAGGTAGGGCCAGTTTCGAGCGTTTCTTTGGGGGAAGGGGCAGTTTCGAACGTTTCTGTGGGGGAGGAGCAATTTCGAACGTTTCTGTGGGGGAGGGACTGTTTCGAATGTTTCTGTGGGAGAGGGCAGTTTCGAACGTTCCTGTGAGGGAGGGGCTGTTTCGAACAATTTTGTGGGGGAGGGGCTGTTTCGAACGTTTCTGTGTGGGAGGAGCAGTTTCGAACGTTTCTGAAGGGCTGGGGCAGTTTCGAACGTTTTTGTGGGGGAGGGGCAGTTGCGAAAGTTTCTGTGAGGGTGGGACTGTTTCGAATGTTTCTGTGGGAGTGGGCAGTTTCGAACGTTCCTGTGAGGGAGGGGCAGTTTCGAACGTTCCTGTGAGGGAGAGGCAGTTTCGAACAATTTTGTGGGGGAGGGGCTTTTTCGAACGTTTCTGTTGGGGAGGGGCAATTTTGAAAGTTTCTGTGGGGGAGGCGTAGATTCGAACGTTTCTTAGGGGGGCAGTTTCGAACGTTTTTTAGGGGGCAGTTTCGAACGTTTCTTAGGGGGGCAGTTTCGAACGTTTCTGCGTTGAGGCAGTTTCGAAAGTCTCTGTGGGTAGGCAGTTTAGAACGTTACTGCATGGAGCAGTTTCGAACTTTTCTGTGGGGGGCAGTTTCGAACATTTCTGTACAGGGCAGTTTCGAACGTTTCTGTGGGGGGGGGTTCAAACGTTTCTGTGATGGAAGGACAGTTTTGAACGTTTCTTAGGGCTGCAGTTTCGAACGTTTCTGTGGGGGGCAGTTTCGAACGTTTTTGTATGGGGCAGTTTCGAACGTTTCTGTGGGTCGCAGTCTTGAACGTTTCTGTGGGGGAGGGGCACTTTCAAACGTTTCCGTGGGGGCAGTTTTGAACGTTTCTGTGATGGAGGGGAAGTTTCGAAAGTTTCTGTGAGGGAGGGACTGTTTCGAACGTTTCTGTGGGGGGCTGCTTCGAACGTTTCTGTGAGGGAGGGGCAGTTTCGAACGTTTCGGTGAGTGAGGGACTGTTTCGAACGTTTTGTGCGGGGGGGGCAGTTTCGATCGTTTCTGTGGGGGGCAGTTTCGAAATTTTCTGCTTGGTGCAATTTCAAATTCTTCGGTGTGGGAGGTGCAATTTCGAACGTTTCTTTGGGGGGCGGTTTCAAACGTTTCTGTGATGGAGGGACAGTTTCGAACGTTTCTTAGGGCGGCAGTTTCGAACGTTTCTGTGGGGGGCAGTTTCGAACGGTTTTTTATGGGGCAGTTTCAAACGTTTCAGCGTTGAGGCAGTTTCGAAAGTCTCTGTGGGAGAGGGGCTTTCTCGAACGTTTCTGTGGTGGAGGTCAGTTTCGAACGTTTCTGCGGGGAGGCAGTTTCGAACATTTCTGTGGGAGGGTAGTTTCTATCGTTTATGTGGTGGAGGGGCAGTTTCGATCGTTTCTGTGGGGGAGGGGCAGCATCGAACGTTTCTACATGGGCACTTTCGAACGTTTCTGCGGGCAGGCAGTTTCGAACGTTACTGCATAAAGCAGTTTCGAACTTTTCTGTGGTGGGCAGTTTCGAACATTTCTGTATAGGGCGGTTTCCACCGTTTCTGTGGGTGGAAGTTTCGAAATTTTCTGCTTGGTGCAATTTCGAATTTTTGTGTGTGGGAGGTGCAATTTCGAACGTTTCTGTGGGGGAGGGGCTGCTTCGAACGTTTCTGTGGGGGAGGGACAGTATCGAACGCTTCTGTGTTAAGGGGGCAGTTTCGAACGTTTCTGTGGGGGGCGGTTTCAAATGTGTCTATGGGGAGGGGCAGTTTCGAACGTTTCTGTGGGGGAGGGACAGTTTCGAACGTTTTGGGGGGGGGGCAAATTCGAACGTTTCTGTAGGGGAGGGGCTTTTTCGAGCGTTTCTGTGGGGGAGGGACTGTTTTGAACGTTTTTGTGGGGGGAAGTTTCGAACGTTTCTGCATGGAGGTAGTTTCGAATGTCTCTGTGTGTGGGGGGGTAGTTTCGAACGTTTCTCTGGGGGGGGGCAGTTCCGAACGTTTCTGCATGGAAGGGGCTGCTTCGAACGTTTCTGTGAGGGAGGGGCAATTTCGAACTTTTCTGTGGGGGAGGAGTTTCGAACGTATCTGAGCGGGAGGGGCAGATTGATCGTTTCTGTG